CATTACAATTATTACAATCATTGTCATTATCACTATTATCATTATCATAATAGTGATAAAGAAGAAAATTATAATGACGATATATAACAATAATCATAATGGTAACAATGAATATTATTATCATATTATTAATAGTAATAGTTATAGTATCATAGTAATATAATAATTGTTATTATCATTGTTATCATAAAAATACTGCTACTAGTATTACTATTGGTCATACTAATAATGATAATAACAGTAATGATAAGGATGATGATGAATATGATAACATAATAGTGATAAAACAAGCATAATACTGATTCTAACAATATAGTAATAATAATCATGTTACGCCACAGCATTTTTTTTTCTTGAATAGCAAACCCGTTGACATTCATTTCCAAGAAAATGAAAAAATGTGAAAATCCTGATTTTTTTTTTATTTCCCCTCTGATATTGTGACGTCGCGAAAGAATTAGCAAAAAGTAATACAAATCAATTTGTCTATGATTCATTGTGTATGGTATCGTTTCTCCTGTCCTCAAAACAAAAATAGAATATATTTGGCGGAAATTACTCTTATGTGTCATGTCATGTCTATTGTCTATCGTGAATATTTTTGATTTTGATTTCCAAAATAACAAATTCTGGTTGAAGAATTCTTTGTCTGTTTTCATTCAACTCCTCGAAGACTTCTAGTAAGACAGAATTGTACTTCCTCCAGGTGGGGCTGGAACTGGTGCATTCCTTTACTTCCGATCTTTGGAAGGAAGGAGGTACACTTGTCTTATTTTGGAGCTGGGGATTTTTTTTTTTCCCTCCCGCTGACATTTCATTGTCACCAGACTTGCTCGCTATTCAAGAAAAAAAATTGCTGCGTCCTTAATGCTGATAGTGAAAATAACATCATGATACTAAAATCAATAATAATGAAATCAAAAATAACACCGGCTCACTGCCCCTCGAACCGCCCTCACCCTCGTAGGGGTTGGAGAGGTCGGGCGCGAAGTCCTGGTCGAGCTTGACGACGGTCGTGACGGCGTCCGCGTCGACCGCCGTGTTCTGGATGTCGTCCGTGTTGATGAAGCCGAGGTGCGGACGCCACAGCCCCGCCACCTGCTCCAGCGACACTGCGGGCGGGAAGAAAGGAGGAGGAGGGAGAAGAGGGGAGAGAAGGAAGGAGAAAGAAGGAAGGGAGGAAGAAGGAGGAGGAGAAGGAAGGAGAGGAAGAAGGAGGAAGAGGGAGAAGAGAAAGAGGAGAGGGAGAAGGAAGGAGAGGAAGAGGGAGAAGAGGAGAAGGAGAAGGATGGAGAGGAAGAAAGGGCGAATTGGGGAAGAAGAAGAGTCTAAGTCAAAAACTGTCTCACGGTTGATTGTTTGTTAAACACATACTGATTCTTTCCACCCAAAGAAAGGCACGTACTTATAAAGAAAACAGATGGTTACTGATCGAATTAAGTTACGAGTCCTTTGGCCGCTTTGTTAAAATTGTGTGAAGCCCGACCCAAAACATAGTCATTGTACATACGCGCATTTACACGAATATAAACATATCAATCAATCTAGACATCATATCACCGGATAGATAGATAGATGCATGTATATCTAACAAACAAATAGACAAATATTTATTTCTGAGTATATGCATGTCCCTATATATGAATATCTATTGGGTCGAGCCTCGTACAATTTTAACAACCTGGCCCCTTAACTCGAGGGCCTCCGACGCGAGCCTCACCCGTGTTGAGTCGCGTCATGTTCTTGAGGTTGTTGAAGGTGAGCCTGTTGTCGAACCACGTCATCCGCAGGTTGTAGCTGACGGAGAGCAGCATGGTGGTGGTGTCGATGTTGAGGGTGTCCATCGTCACGTCGAGGGCGATCGGGAGGGAGGAGTCGGAGGCTGTGGGGGGAGGAGAGGGGCTCGTGAGGGTGGGTAGGGGTGGGGGGCTTGTCTTTCGGCCGAGGGGAGGGTGGGACTGAGGTTTGGAAATTTTGGAGGTTACGGGATCATTATGTTATTCTTTATCTATTTTTCATCTGTCTGTTGACTGTCTGTCTGTCTTTCTACTTTCTTACACACACACATTTTTATATGTGTGTGTGTGTGTGTATGTGTGTACATATATACATGTACATAATATACATATATATATATATTATATATATATATATATATATATATATATATATATATATATATATATATTATATATATATTTTATGTGTCCCCTCATCCTCCTCTAACCCACGCGGCGCCCCACGACCCACCTGGCCTCGGCGGGAGCTTCGACCTGTAATCCTTCGGGAAATTGATGATGTCGCAGTGGCTCTCGTCCGACTTGTCGTCGCAGTCGAACTTAAGGTCGCAGCGCTTGGCGAAGTCGACGCAGGAGCCGTCGGAGCAAGTGAACTGGCTGACGGTGCACGAGGACAGCGTCAGCACACGAAGGCCCGCCTCCTGACGACACACGGGATTCTGGGGACGTCCGTGGGAGGGCGCCGCGGCACCATTAGTCATGTGTCGATATTTCGGCTCCTTATATTTAGACCTTATCACACTAGCACTTTTTTCCGCCAATTTTTGCGTTTCCGTCTGAATCTGAGGCTTTCCGCAAGTATCGTTTGCAAACGGAACGCCTCCCAGGGGAAGACCGTTTCGTCTAATTTCGTCTTGATCTTGTGCTACGAAGGATCTATACGGCTAGATTGTTTTTTTTTTTTATTATTGATAGATTAGATAGAAAGAGTGAACGTAAACATAAGCTAATATCTTAGAACGTTCGTATATACAATATTACAATCATATTCTTTAAAATAACGTAATATGCATGAGAATGTTCGTGTGATTCCCGGGACCTCACTTCAGTAGCGCCGTGTTTGTTTACATGGGCAATGTTTTACTGCCTTGGTAATGTGATAGCGTCAGTCCATCTCATACGGAAAGGTCATTCGGAAACGCAAAAAATTGACGGAAAAAAGTGATAGTGTAATAGGGTTTTAAATTAGCCACCACTTTCGCCAAAAGCTCCGTGAAAAGCTGGATTCCTCGGGTTCAGAAACACGACGGACCCTCACCTGCAGGTTCCAGGTGAGCCTCCCGACGGGGTAGTTGAGGTCGACGTCCTCCTGGCTGAGCGTCGCCATGGTGGTGTTGGTGATGATGTTGGACCACGCCCACACGCCCCCCGCGCCCTGCTGCACCGCGTACTCGCCGTAGCCTCGGAAGGACAGCGGCGAAGGAACCAGGTCCAGGTAGTACATGCGCTGAGGGGGAGGGGGAGGGGGATGGAGGGTGAGTGTCGAGTCTTAGCTTCTGGTTGAGAGCGAAGCCGCGTTTGGCTCGGGTGAGGAGGACAGACAGGGAGAAGGAGAGGAGGAAGCACAGAAGTGAATGATACTACTACTACTACTACTAATAATAATATAATATAATAAATGGGCACAAAAAGGGAGAAGGTGAAAAAGAAGTAGAATAAGAATGGGAAGGCGAAAGAGAAGGGGGAGAAGGAGAAGGAGAAGAAGAAGGAAAAAGAGGGAGAGATATAGGAACAGGAAAAGAAAGACAGAAAAAAATAGAACAGATAATAGTAATAATTATGAAATAAACTTTTTACACACTTAGCCAATAAATCCAACGATCTCTCAGTTTTACTCGACTTCTGAAGCTGTTTCGTTGCTTAGAGTGAAGGCAGAAGAACAAACAGAACAAGATATATCTAATAAATGCTTATTTCTCCTTCTCTTTTCTTCTTCCTTCCACCATCTACGTTGACCTTATCTTCCCTTCTATCAACCTGTTATTCCTAACTTCCCTTTCATCAGCCTTTTCATTCCCTTATTCCTCTCGCCATCCGCATTACTCGTTCTCCCTGCCAATAGGCCTATGACTCTTCTCCCTGGCAAATAGGCTATGACCCTGTCAATAGGCCTATGACTCCCTTCTCCCTGTCACCTATCACTTCCTTTTCCTGTAAACTGGCCTTCACTTCTCTCTACCTACTGCCAATAGGCCTTGATACCTTTTTCCTGTCAATTGGCCTATCATCCTTCCGCTGTTAATAGGCCTATCACTTCCTTCTCCCTGTCAATAGGCCTATCACTCCTGTCGATAGGCCTATCACTCCGCTGTCAATAGGCTATTATTCTTACTCCTGTCAATAGCCTATCACTCCTCTCCTGTCAATGCCTATACTTCCTTCTCCCTTTCAATAGGCTTTCACTCCCATTCTTCCCTATCACTCTCCTATCTCCAACAGCCCTATCACTCCTTACTCCCTCTCGCAACCTACACTCCCACTTTCTCGTAGTCCTATAACTCCACTCTCCCTTCCCCTCTCGCATCTCTCTCACCCATAAGACTCACTCCACCTTCAGCTCTCTACCTCCGAGCAATCCGTCCTCCCCACCACTCCCTCTACCTCCTCCCCTCCAACTCACCTCCCTCTCTCTCCCTCCTCCCTCACCAACCTCACCTCCTCTCCCTCTCCTCCACAACTCCCTCCTCCTCCTCCAACTCCTCTCCCTGACCTCTCTCCCTCTCAACATCCTCCCTCACCTCCCCATCATCTCCTATCACCATCCTCTCACTTCCCCTCCCTCTCTCTCTCCTTCTACCCTCCCTTCTCCTCTCTCCCTCCCCTCTCCCTCCCTTCCTCTCCCTCTCCTCCTCCTCCTCCCCCTCCACCTCTCTCCCTTCCTTCTCCCTCTCCCCCTCTCTCCTCTCCCTCCTCCTCCTCACAGATCCCCCTCAGCGTCCATGTGGTCCCGGCGAAGGCGTGGCAGGCGGAGCAGCTGTGCTTCTGGCAGTCGGTGTCCTCGAGGCCCTTCTGGTGCAGGCGGATGCAGTTCTGGTACTGGCCGCCGTCGGGGTTGTTGGCTCGGAAGAGCAGCTGGCTCTTGGGGGAGGAGAGAGGGGGTTATGGGTTGTTGTTGTGGTGTGGTGTTGGAGGTGTTGTTTTGTTGTTTGTTGGTTGTGTGGTGTTGGAGGTGTTGAATTTTGTTGTTGTTGTTGGTTGTGGTGGTGTTGTAGTTGTTGGTTTTGTTGTTGTTGATATATTGTTGTTTGTTATTGTTACGTTGTTGTTGAGGATGATGTTGATGGGTGTTGGCGGTGGTGTTGGTGGTGGTGTTGGAGTGTTGGAGTGGTGGTGGTGGTGTTGTATTGTTGGTTTTGTTGTTGTTGATGAGTTGTTTATGTTGTTGTTGCTGAGGATGATGTTGTTGTTGGTGTTGTTGATGGTATTGCTGTTGATGCTGTTGTTGCTACTGATGTTGTTGTCGGTCACGTTGATGTAATTATTGTTAATGTTGCTGTTGTTGTTTCTGTAGTTTTAGTTGTAGCTGTTGTTTTTGTTGTGCATGTTGTTTCGGAAGGTTGACGAATCTTTAAGACATTAGCTTTTGTAGAGTAGGGAGACATTTCTTAATCTTGAGCTCATGGGCAGGCTTAAGGGTTGGGTAAGGCTAAGTCTCGTTTTCTTGGAGAAGGGGGGGGGGAGGGTAGTTAACTTTTGGACTTCTAGGGAAAGAAAAAAAAAGATTCATTCATATTTTTCAAGTCTTAGGGTTTGATTAAATTTCTCTATTTTCTCTGTCTCTCGTCTTGTGGGTTAGCAATTCGATTCGACTTATCGATTTTGCTCTAGCGTTAATCATAGTATGATTACCCAGTCAATTAAAGTTGCTATTTATGGATCATCCTCTTCCTTCGCTGCCACTTACGGTATTAAATGAGTCCCCGCTGAAAGGATTCCGCCAAACGTTTTCTTTGTCCTCGTCAGTTATTCCCGCCCACTGACGGTCACACTCTGCCGAAGAAAATCAGTTTAAATTCAAATTCAAAAATCAGTTATAAAAGATTTAATCGTTTTTGATATAGTATGAGCCATTATAATGATCAGTCTAGTGCTTTGTTGAATGTGACTGAAAGTAGAGGTACTGACACTAGACAGAGGCAAAGATAAGTAAAGTTATAGATAGGTAGAAAGAAGACCTACAGACAGATAGACAGATAGACACAGAGAGAGAGAGAGAAGAAGTAGAAACTGGAGAGTTTGAAGCAAAAGAAGAAAACGAAATAGACAAAACCATAGAAACCCTCCTCTCCCACCCCACCACCCCAAAAAAAAAAAAAAAAAAAAAAAAAAAAAAAAAAAAAAAACTAACCCTCGACGCCCGCGAAGTACCCGAGCTCCCTCTCGATCTGCCTCGGGTCGACGGCACTCGATGACTCCCCCGAGGCCCGACAGACGAAGACGGCGTCGCGGAACCGAAGGAGGGGCAGAGGCACCGTCACCCTCCCGCGGGACACCGACCGGCACAGCTCCTGCAGGGGAACGCTCTGGGGGAGGAAAGAAGGGCGCGAGGAAGGGAGGAAGGAGGCGGATGGGGAGAGGAGAAGAGAAGGAGGGAGGAGGGGAGGAAAGTGGAGGAGGGGATGAGGAAATGAGAGGAAGCGAAGGAGGAGAGAAGGGGAAGAGAAGAAGGAAGGGGAGAAAGAGGAGGAGAAGGAGGGAAAAGGAGGGCAGAAGAGGGGGAGGAAAGAGAAGAGGGAAAGAGGAAGAGGAAAAAAGGGAAGCACGAGAAGGGAAGGGGAAGGAAAGGAAGGAAGAAGAAGGGAAGAGGAGTGATGAGGAGTGAATGGAAGGAGAGGAATAAAGGGTTTGCAAGGAGCGATGGGGTAAGGGGGTTAGGAAGCGGAGGAAGGAGAAGGAGGAGGAAGGGAGACGAGAGAAGGAAGAAGGGGAGGAAAAGAGAAAAGGCAAAGGGAAAGGGGAGAGAGAGAGAAATGAGAGGAGAAGGGAGGTTCCGGAGAGAGGAAGGGCGGAAAAGGAATAAATAATTATTGATAAATGTTAATAATAATTGTTCTTAATGATTAATAACACCAATAAAAAAGTCACATCTTTCCCCAATACGTCAAAAACCCTCAAATCTCACTTCTTCCTCAATGTCGTAAAGCTGCCAGTTCTTAGACCAGGTCAAAAGGTCACCCTCAAGGTTGACCTCGCAGTTGGCCAGGCTGAGAATCTCATCTTGGGTCAAAGGTCGACTCCACATGTTGATCTGACTGACCTTTCCGCTGAGGGAGTACTTGACCTGGGATGGAGTGAGTGAAGTTAATGAATGAAGTGAATGGTAATGGTGATCTGAAGGGAATTCGGTGAATGAAATGAGTGAGGGAAGTAGTGAATGAAGTGAACAAGGGAATGAATTAAGTGATTGGGGAAGTTAATGATGAGGGAGTGAGGGAAGTAATGAATGAAATGAGTGAGGGAAGTAATAAATGAAGTGAGGAGTATCGATGACATGAAGGAAAATGAGTGAAGGAAGTTGATGAATGAAGTAAATGGTATTGATGAAATGAAGGGAATCAAGTAAAGGAATGAATTGAAATGAATGAAATAATAGTGAATGAAGTGAACAGCGCTTATGAAGTCAGTGACGTGAATGAATTAAATGAATTCAATGTTATGAATGGAAGTAAGGAATGAATGAAAGATTAAAGAAAAAGAGTGA